ACGAACAGTTACTAAAGAAAGTATATAACTAGTCGTAACATTTAGATAGTTATTCAAAAGATTAAGAAAAAGATTCATAACATCAACGAACGAACCACAAAGTAAATAAATACAACAAGTATTAAATCGAAGTGATGGTTGAAAAAATGTAAATGCATTACCAATGAAACCCATCACACCGAGAATAATGAATATAAGTGGTAGATAAACAATTAATTGATGTTTTACGAAATCAAGAATGTAAGAAAGATCACTTGATGTATCATTTAAAGTTATAGTACTATTCCACGACATTTTCTAGTATGTTCTTTAAGATATTCTTTTATTCAGCTTCAATTGTCAAGTATCTTTAGACAAAAAAAAAATGAATTATTGAAAATAAAAAGAAAAATAAAAATAAATTGTTTCTTTAGTTTTCATTTATTATTCTTCTATTGTTTGCATAAAAAAATTTATCAATTAAAGAATAGGCGAAACAATTTCAGGAAATGTAATTATCAATAACTACTAATATTGGTATTAAAAACGCCTAAGAATTGTATATTATTTCTATAGAATAAAATGATAATTAAAGAAGATAGCAGATAAAATAAAGAACAACATGTAATGAAATAGTTAAAAACAATAAACATTTCGATAAAAAGAAGATATGAAAAAGAAAATAGTGCTAGAAGTGGAAATTTTTTATATAATTATGTATTTTCTTAGTCATTTGGCAGTTATGAGTTTACAAAAGAAAATTTTCCATTAGTTGTATTACTAAATATAGTTGTCCTAAAGTGAAATTGAAGGCTTATTGTGTAAGGAGAAAGAAAGAGAAAATGAACTTTCTTATATTATCTGAACTGATTTACTTTTCTTACTGAATCTAGTCTATCACATATGAGCTATTTGAATAAGACTAATAAATTAATATGTAATGAGCTTTCTAAACATAGAAGAAATGCTAGATTCAAATAAATAATAGATCACACTAATGTTTTATTCATGTTTTTTTTATACATTAAAAAAAAATATTACTAACCTTCATTCGACTGTTTTCAGATTTATTAAACAAACATGATGAACGACTTTGGTTTTGTTTAAGTGAAAATAAAACAAATGAATGTAAGTTCAGTAGGAAACTCAAATATCTATTCGCTTATTTTACTGATTTCTCTTCATAAAGAGAACTGAATACATTCATTTATGCTAAATAAAGAAAAAACATTGTACAGGTCAACTATATACATACTCTGTTAAAAATAGATAAGTAAATAAAAGAATTTTTTTAAAAGCAAGAAAGAAAATAAAATTCCAATAAAGAAGAAGAATCAAATTATTTCTTGAAAAATGTCTTTTTTTGGCAATTATGAAAGATACAACATAAATATTATAATCTATCTACTTCACAGATGATAGGTTTCATATGTTTGCCAGATACTCTTTTGAGCGTTTTTCTCAACGTCATCTGACAACCTATCCGTAGTGTCTTTTTATATTCTCTCCTGAAGGTTGTCTCTGTCTGTCCAACATCTTCGGCCAAATCAGTCGGTACACACTGACTTGGTTTTTCTTTGACTGTAGGGTTTACTTTGCTACTGCTACATCTGTCTCTAATACCAACATCGACAGGAGTGTCAGGTCTTACAGTAACGACTTTCCTCTGCAATTTCATTTGATTTTGACTCGAAGTCGAGGCATTCTGAATCACTGTGGTCGACTTTCTTTTCCTTTCCTTATGCTCTCCTTTTTTCTTAATGTCGAGCCACTTGCTGCTAAGATTTGCCTTAGTTCGAATAGACAGATTCAAATTTTTCCAAGCTGATTCAATTTCGTTCCAAGATATCATACCGTTCGGTCTGACATACTGTGGAATTAATCGCTTCAGCTCTTCAATTTCCTCCTCTGTCCATAACCCTGCCTTCCCCCGACCAGCGGGGTTTGCTCCTCTCGGTCATTTAGCGCTAATTGACTTCTTTTCAGACTGATGAGTGGGTGACTGAGCCGCATGAATGCCACCTTTTCCTAATTCACCATTGACGGAACTAGACGTCTCAGCCGATAAAGTTGGAAAAATTGCACGAGCACGTCTAGTCGCCCTTGTTTGCCGGGCTACAGCTTCGTCGCTATCAGACATGGTAGACAAGGGAAAGTGCAGCTAGCTGAGCGCTTCCCGTCGTCGAGTTTTCGAATAATGCAAGATAACTGTCTCTAACTGATGTCCGTTAGAGACTCTAACCAGATGACTAGGCATTTGGCTATATCGTTTATTAAAAATTTCTTGCATTTATAAAAGTCGACAAGTAAAATTGTGACGTTCAGCCGTAACTGTGACGGCACGTAAGAGAGGATTAGAAAAAGGAAAGAATATAATTACAGGTGAAGAAGGATGGGAAAACACACACATTTACACAGAAATAAAATAAGAAAATTAATTAAAAAAAACTAATTAAGATTATTACTATTATTATATTATTACAACATTAACGGAAAGAATATGTACAATGGAAATGGAATTTTAGAGGTTGCATATATTTAGTTCCGTGAGGATCGTCAAAAGAATGTCGTTGCCACCTGTCTGTCCATCACCGTTGCACGATTCGATGCTCACAACCATAACAGTATGTTACACCAAGACGTACACCAATCTACGACCATAACCATGTTTGAACACCATCCGATCACCTCTGATTAGTGCTTGCCCAAGTACTTTCTATTTCCATATCGTAATATCAAAATATTAGATATGTAATCTGTTAGCATTGTTGAACAAGGTAATCGTCCTCAGAGAATCTTCGATAACTCCTACTGCAAGCATACCCAATTCAGCACCAGAAAATTCAATAGAATGCCAGATTGAAAGATGTCTTGAGTCGGATGCACCACGACTGCCTACACAAAGTCCATGAAATGTGACATCTTGAACTTTATATTTATGCTTGATAGTTTCAGCCAAGGGTTTGTAACGATCTACCTTCC